AGCTCCATATAGCTGATAAGGGACTTATATCAAAGATCTACAAAGATCTGCACCTCCCCTGTGGCTCAGCTGGTTGAGTGCCACACTGTTAAGCTTCTGCAGTCTCTGCAGTGTGGGTTTGAGTCCCAGCCAGCCAGGGAGAAACCCACATGGTGCAGCATACCTCTCCTGTCTTGCCTGCTGCTACCCTCAGCAGTGTCTTTGGTCCATCTGCCTATTCAGCTCCCGGCTCTGTCTCTGGTGAATTATCTCACCCTCCTGCACCTCTGACCTATACCCAAGTTTTTGTATAAATAAATAAATCTTTAAAAAAAAAATATTTGGGCCTCCCCGGTGGCGCAGTGATTGAGTGCTGGGCTGCGAAGCTGCCTGCAGCCACTGCAGCCCGGTTCAATCCCTGGCTGCTGGCGAGGGTCCCACATGGCGCGCAGACCTCTCCTGTCATGCCCGCTGCTCCCCTTAGAAGTGTATTTCATCAGTCTGCCTGTTCTGTTCCCCGCTCTGGCTCTGGTGAATTCTCTCATCCTCCCGTGCTTCTGACTGTACCCAGTGCTTGTATAAATAAATAAATAAATAAATAAATAAATCTTAAAAAAAAAAATCTACAAGGAGCTTACACAACTCAACAAAAACAAAATAAACAATCTAGTCAAAAAGTGGGCAGAAGAAGAAAAAAGACACTTCTCTAAATAGGAAATGCAGATGGCCAACAGGCACATGAAAAATGCTCAACATCCCTTATAATCAGGGAAATGGAAATCAAGACAATGAGATACCATCTCACACCAGTAAGGATGGCCCACATTAAAAAACCTGACAACAACAAACACTGACGAGGATGAGGAGAAAAAGGAACACTTTTACTTTGCTGGTGGGAGTGCAAACTTGTCCACCAACTATGGAAAGTTGTGTGGAGGACCCTCAAATTATTAAAAATGGGTCTACTATATGACTCAGCAATTCCACTGCTAAGAATCTACCCAAAGGACACCAGAACATTAATTTGAAAGGAAACCTGCACTCCTGTGTTAATTGCAGCAGTATTTACAATAGCTAAGATATGGAAACAACCTAAATACCCAAAAACAGATTTCTGGATCAAGAAGATGTGGTATATATACATAATGAAATACTACTCAGCAATCAAAAAAGATAAACTCATGCCATTTGCAGGAACATGGATGCAGGTGGAAGAGATTACGCTCAGTGAAATAAGTCAGAAGGAAAAAGAAAAATATCGGATGGAGGAATCCATCCGATACGGAGGAGGAATACAGGGAAACCAAACAAGGACTCAGAAAAGAAAAAAAAAAGACCAAATTAGCAGTCAAACTATAGAACTGAGACATATAGGGAAGGGGGAGAAAATGGGGTCCAAAAGGGGGAGGGACGGGCACAAGAGACTATGGTGACAGTTCATAGGTGGTAGGAATTTTATGAGGATTACACCTAGGGGAGAAATCAAACATTATAAAAAATGAACAATAATGTAAAAAATAAATAAATATAAAATTAAAAAATTGTTTTTTAGTTTTCTAATTTTGTACTTGTTATGGGTGGTTTGGAGAAGTGTTATTGGGAATAGTTTTTTTTTTTAAAGATTTATTTATTTAATTATACAAGACTGGGTACAGTCAGACGTGCGGGTGGGTGAGAGAATTCACCAGAGCCAGAGCAGGGAACAGAAGAGGCATATGGACCGAAATTCACTGCTGAGGGGAGCAGCGGGCATGACAGGAGAGGTCTACGCGCCATGTGGGACCCTCGCTGGTGGCCGGGGATCGAACTGGTGCTGCAAAGGCTGCGGGCAGCTTCACAGCCCAGGGCTCAACTGCTGAGCCACCAGGGGAGGCCTGGGAATAGTTTCTTTTACCTCCTTCTAGAGGAGTCCAGGGTGGGTCTAGTCAGATGCTAATAAAGATACTTTTAGCAAAAAAAAAAAAAAAAAAAAAAAAAAATTAAATAAATTTTTAGTTTAGTTTCAGCATAATTCCTCTCTCATCATTTCCCATTATGCATGTTGCAATCCATGCACACCTTTATCTAGTCATTCATTAAATATCTACTGAATGCCGAGCTGAGGACCTTGGGACTTCCTACCAAGTCCAGTAAAGATCATTGCTAGAATTAATGTGCTGAGGATTGTTCAATGGGCCTATGTTTTTCTCTCCTGCCCTGCGTGCTATTTGTTCTGGAGGCAGGAACCATCCATAGTCTGCTAACTCTTGTATCTGACTTACTTCAGAAAGTGGGCATTGGAACATTTGAAAAACCAGAAGCAGGGAGCATTGTTTCTGCACTAAGAATTATGACCAGGGACCACGTACATTTTAAAAATCTTTTTAGAATCCCATTGCTTTTAAAAAACAACAAGGTTACAACTAAGCTGAATCTTATCAAAGCAACTCCAAATGGAATTTTCCAGTGAATATTCACACAGGAGAGCTTTAAGCATTACACTGAAAGTGTTTCCAAGCATAAAAACATTGGGGGTTAAATATTACAAAGGAACCAAGTAAAATCAATAATCCACCTTCCTTTGAGCAAAACATAGACACCATTGTGTGCAATAATGATGAGGAATGAATGTGGTAAGAACTTCGAAAGCCAGGTACAAAGGCATAAGATCCGCACCTTAGATAAGATACTGATGATGACAAATCCTCTGCAAGATGAGTCACTGCAGGAAGAAAAGAAGAGCATGTACTTAGCTTTAGAAAAACAATGTTCTTTTCCATTATAAATGCCTATTCTTGAAAATTGAAAAATCCGGGGAGATAGAAGGAATAGTAAGCAATTAACCAATTCACCTTGACTTTCAAAAATACTTAAAATGTTTTAGAAATTTTCCCAGGGTTTGTTATTATAACATTGAGAAGCTAGATAAAAAAATGATCCCCTAACACATGTTTAACCTGATCTATAGTTTTATTTAGTCTATCTGAGTTCATGATAACTCCTTTCAGATTTGGGGGATGTTCTCAAGGAAAGAAAGATATGATAAACCAAGTAAAATCCAAGAGAAATTGAATTCAGCCCTGAGTGATGCTGTATAATCACAGATTACTTTATAATCACTTTAGCAAAAAATACTCAGACAGCAGCCATCTCAATGAAAAAAATAAGGTGCGAATATGAAATGTAGATAAATTTTCATGCAGACCATTCAGTTCTTTTATGATAGATAAGCATTCTTAAAGTTCAGTGGAAATCATACAGCAGCCATGACAAAAACCATTCTGACGATAGGCCAATTGATAGCAATGACTTAAGTTCCCACGGTATATTTTTGGTCACAAAAGCATCATCAAACTTCTAAATAAAGACCAAAACATCATTTACGTTCATTCATTTATTCAATAACTCATTCATTCTTCTTTCAACCCACTTATTTCAATTCAGGGTCACAGGTGGTTAGATCCTATACCAGTAATTTAGGGTCAAGACAGGACCCCCCAACCCTGACAGAACATACTTCCATTGCAGGGCATATCACACACACACACACACACACTGATTGGGACAATTGAGACACACCAATAATCCTCATATGCACATCTGCACATCTTTGTGATGTGGAAGGAACCCAGAATACCCAAGAAAACCCACACAGTCATGGGGAGAACATGCAAACTCTGCATAGACAATGGTCCAAACTGGGAATCATTTTTTTTTCTTATTGATATTATAATGAAACAAGTTTGAAGGAAAGGACATTATGGAGGGCCTACTATCCTAGGGCTGGACTGTACAACATAACTGTGGGTAACGTTGTTGACTGGTGTGTGCACAAGAAAACTGTTAAGAGTCAATCCTAAGGTTCTTATCACAAGGAGAATTCTTTTCTCTTTCTTTTCTTTTTATTTTATCTACATGAGATAATGAATGTTGACTGAAGCTACCACTGAGACACAAATTCACAATATGTATAATAACTACTTCACAATCTATGTAAAACAAACCATCCATCAAACCCTATGGCTTAAACTTATAGTTTACTTATAGTAATGTACGTAAAGCATTTTTTTTTTAAGATATTACTTTTATGTAGAAGAGCTGGGGTGTAGGCCAGATGTGTTGAGGGGAGGGGCAGGGTAGGTGACAGGATTCACTAGAGACAGAGTAGGGAGCAGATTAGACAGATCAACTGAAATACACAGCTAAGAGGAGCGGCAGGCAAGTCAAGAGAGGGCTGCTGCACCATTTGTGGGTTAGCTCCCTGACTGTGGATTGAATTAAAACTGTCGTAATGATTAACCCCTAGGCCACCGGGGAGGCCGATGTTTGTGAAGTATTTTTCAATAAAACTGAGGGGAATGGGCCTCCCTGATGGTGTAAGGGGTTAAGATGCAACCTATGAAGTTATCTGCAGCCACTGCAGCAGGAGTTTGATCCCTGCCCAGGGAGCTACCCACATGGCGCAGCAGACCTCTCCTGACTCGCCCACTGTTCCCCTCAGCAGTGTATTTCAATCAATCCTCCTGTTATCTTCCCCACTGTCTCTGGTGAATCCTCTCCCCTCCCCCAACACACACCTCTGGCCTGTACCCCAGTTTTTGTATGCATAAATAAATAAATCTTTTTTTTAAAAAAACCCAAAACCGAAGGGAAAAGGAAATAAAATGTCTCATAGATCTGGAGGCTAAGAATCCAAAATATGGGTGCTTCTTGGCCTTTTAGATGGTCTATCATGTAAATACTCTTCTAATTTTACTTTTTTTCTGAATTGTTATATGTGCTAGGGTTTCACCCTGAAGCAAAGAGACCCCAGTGTGTAGACCAATGTCTTTGTCCCTGTCTACTGATGCAGAAGGAGTGATGCTTTCACTTCTTTCTCTATTAGGTAATTCCTCTGTGTCACAATCTACTCCCTTCCAAATAGCTCCAAAAGGACATCTGACAGTCAGGTATTTGCAGGGGGGTTGAGAGGTGGAGGACAATATGGTTGGGAGGGCACAGTTAGTAGATGATTAGACTGGGTGAGTCATAAAGAGAAAATTGGAGTGGAAGAATCCTAGAGTGAGATTGTAGGATAGTTGGTTTCAAGTTACCCATCCTAGACAGGGCATTGGCAGAGGACAGCACCGTGTGGTATTCAGAGTGTTGCCTTAGAATCTGCCCCAGATACTAGATTTTTTACTTTGAGTAACATAACCCCTCTAAGTCTCAATTTTTTCATTTGTAATGTGGGGATCATAATGGTGCTTACCTCAGGGGTTTGTTGTGTTATAGGAAATAATGCAGGCACAGGGCATATAGCCTCCTGCACAGTGTGGTAACTGTAACCAAGACTGTCATAAAACTCTCAAATCTGCTGTTATGAGTACAGAGAAGGAAAACCAGTTTTAAGTATTACCTGAGTATCGCTTGTTACTCAGTTTATGATGTTAGGTTGGAAACAGTCATCTTTGTTTTGAGACATCTATGAAATAGGTGTGACGATAGACAAGGAACCAGAAATGGAAAGTGATAAAGTTGGAGGCCCAGGAGAACAGGAAATGAGGCCCAATAAACAAGAAGAAACAAATGAAGGTGACTCTAGTTGTAAGGGGGAGGGAAGAGGGTTGCCTTAGGAAGCAGTGTCAAATTAAGCAGGAAAAGTTGTAGTTTAAAAAAATGTCTACATAAAGTATGCATGTGATTACATGCTGCTTGGCTTTCTGTTTGAGTGAAATTCTTCAAATTAGTGTTTCATTCATAAGGTTATATCTGTGAGCACTATGAATGACACTGGTCTTCCTCGGAGTATATGATCAGAATTTTATACTTCTTTTGCATTTTTATTTCATTTGTTTACCCTTTTGTTCAGAAAGGCCAGCATTACAGGTTACATCTAATCACGTGACTCTCTTGGTCTTGGACCCAGCCCACACCCAGACCAGCGATGCACAACCCACACCTGCAGAGGAGTCAGAAATCCTACAGCCTGGGGACACATTCCAACAGCAGGGTCGTGACATCCTCAACTCCTCAGTAAGAACCACACAGCCCAAGCAGGCTGACAACTCCAGTCCCCCAGTCAAAGACATCAACCCCAGCAGGCTGTTACCCCTATCCCCCAATAAAAACCATTTTGTTCAAGCAGGGTAACATCCCCAAGCTTTTAGGGAAATTCATCTTACCAAAGCAGGGCAATACTCCCAGTCTCTTACCAATACCCATCCCACCTAAACAGGGCAATCCTCCCAAATCCTCAGAAGAAATCACCCTGCCCAAACAAGGTGAACCCCTCCAGCTGTCAGAAGAAACCACCAAGTCTATGGAAAGTGACTCTCTGAATTTGGTGGAAGACTCAATGGATCTCCTGGGAGTGGACATGGTCAAGGAGATCCTGAGCAAGGAGGACTTCGAGACAGCACTCAAGGAGGCAGGAGAGAGGCTGGTAATAGTGGATTTTTCAGCCACATGGTGTGGGCCTTGCAAGACCATCAAGCCTCTCTACCACTCCCTGTCTGTGAAGTATGAGGACGTGGTATTCCTGGAAGTGGATGCTGATGAGTGCGAGGAACTAGTGAAAGATCGTGACATCATTTGCATCCCAACCTTTCAGTTTTATAAAAAGGAAGAGAAGGTGGGTGAATTTTGTGGTGCCCTTACGGAAAAACTCGAAGAAATCATTGTAGAATTAAAGTAATCATGTATTTCGAAAGCATCTTAAACAGTTGGCTGTTTATAACTTGTGATTTTTCACACTTAGAAAAAAAATCTAACAAAAGTGTATGTCCAAATGACACCTACTTACTAATTATAAATATTAACTCTATCTTTTTTCAAAAATTAGTGAGAGTAATAGAGCATAACGTGACCATGATTTCATAGTCAAGTGTAAGAATTATTTTTCAGTGGAGACGGGAAGCATAATTGTCCCCTATTTTTTCAGTCTTTCAAAAATCGCTCATTCTTGGAAAAACAACTCATTTAGTGTTAGCATCAACATTGGAAATTTAGGTAAATCTTCTGTAGGTGTTACTGGAACAGGCCTTGTTCTGCTGCCTGTCACTGCAGAAAGTTAATAAGAAGAGATAGGAATTAAAGCTATCGTATTGGATAAGTTCAATGAGAGCCATAGTGCTTTTATTTTTCAGATCACTGGCCACTGATCTGAGAGCATAGCACCCTGAAAAAACTATTTGTCATCATATCTCAAGCTGGCCTTTTATAATGAGTTAGACAAAGATAGTTATAAGCAAACAGCCCATTAGAACAGCCCATCACAGTTGATGTCTCTAGTATTCGTCATGGTCAGCCCCCAGAACTTATCAGCTTCCTGGTTAAACTGACCCTGGCACATCTGATGTATCAATGTCCAGCACGCCTTTGGGCATCATAGAGGCAGGAATCTCAGTTTAACACCGGAGTTTTAGTTTAAAGAAAACAGATCATTTGTCATATAGTGTATATGAGACCTAGCTCTGTGTGGTGCCCGGTTCTTCCTCCCTAGCCCCTATCACAGATGAGTGGAAATTTCTTGTGCTTACATGTCTTTACAATTTCTGATAAGACACTTTTGGAAATAAAGAAATGGAAAGATTTCATGAATTTTATCTTGCCTCCTTCTTGTGTGGAGAGTACTATGGAGGACTCTGAAAGTTCCATGGGCTTGCCAACGCCGTATGGGATAATTTGGAGGCAGAGCTGAGACCAAGCCATGTTTCCAAGAGTTCAAGTCCAGGCCTCTTTCTTCTGGTCCATATTCACAAAATCTGAGGTAGAACTCAAAATGTTTGGTTTCTCAGACCAGTAGTTTTATCATTCTGCTTGAAGTCAGTAGAATCCTTAGTGCCATTATGACATCAGCTCCCTGGTGCCAAAATTTTTGCTTTGTCCCCTTGGTAACTGGATTATTGAGACCTGCTTCCAGATGTTTCAGAGTCCAAAGACACAGATGGTGACCTGTTCCAGAGTTTTTATGGTTACATTGCTGCATATGATGGAAGAAGGTGGAATTTAACTAGGGGTGAGGGTAGGGACAATTAACAAGTTGGTAAACCGGCTATGGAAGTTTCCAAGAATCAGAGGTTGGGACAGAAAGGATTATCAGTTTTTAGAGAAAACTAACCCAACCTGACCCCAGGGCAATAAATCCCATCAAAAAACAGCATGTGAGAACATCTGGTACCCTGGCAAAATGCAGTGTCTTGGCCACTTGTGTCTATGCAGGTGTGTCTTTTTTTTTTTTTTTTTAATAAACTTTCTGTCTACCACTGAATGGGAGACTGTTGAATTCTTTCTCAGAGGGATCCAAGAACCCCACTCACCGAACATGTGTATTTAATATATACATTTTTATGAGTTAGAGCATATGCACACATCCATGATACTAGTACCACACTCATGGTAATAAACATACCCATCACTCTAAAATTTTTCTTATGTTGATAGACAGCATGTCTCTTTCCTTTGTATGAATTTATGGGTTTGTATGGGTTTATGAGTGTGATAAGAACACTTAACCCTCTTAACATATTTTGAAGTGCACAATTCTGTATTGTTAACTATAGGTGCTATGTTTTATAGCAGATCTCTAGAACTTATTCATTTTGGAAAAAAATTTCATACCCATTTAATCACAACTCCCCATCTCCCCCTCATTCCCTGTCATTCACAAGCTATAATCTGCTGGTACAAACTATTTTAAAGATTTTGAAATAATTGTCAACATTCCAAAAACCTAGAATTCTAGTTTTTGTTGAAAAATTGTAAAATATGAAATCTGGGTTGGGTTTGTGTTACTTCAAGAAATCAATCTAATCTTAAGAAATGAGTAGCAATTAATTCCATTGGAATGGATCAAAATATTTTCAGTTTTCTGAAAGGAAACTGGCTTCTTTTATCCAATTGAGTTGTAATCCCACCAAAACAGGATTACCCCAGCAATGCCCATCTTGTGCTTATCACTACTCTCCTTAATGGTATCTCAATCATAGACTTTGTCTGAGTCTTTAAAAAAGACCACCTAACAAGTAAGCAAGTACTTGGCCTTTTTTCTAAAAAGATTTGCCATGAAACAAGCAAAATCTGCCACTACTTAAATATGTCTTTTTAATATAAGTTTTATATCATAGGAGGGACTCTGAAGGCTTTGTGGAAGTTGCCCTTTTGTAAGAGACATTCACAGGTATAAAGGAAAATCTCTTTGTAAGGACATCTTCTCCCCCTCCCCACACACACATGCGCACGCGCGCACACACACACACACACACACACACAAGTTTCAGAATACTGAATCTCTTTAATATTATTGGAGAAGGCAGAACATAAATCTGCATAATGGTCTTTCCCTTTCTGGCTGTGCCTTTCCTGGTTACCTCCCATGTTTGACCTTCCCCTCCTCCTCCTAGCTCTCTTTGTCTTGGCTGATGTTATTTGAGATGGTAACTAAAACCATATGGGCGAGTTACTCAGTCTTATTGGGTTTCTCCCATGTATACAGGAAGTTTAAGTGTTATTAAAATTACCTTTCTTTTTCTCTTGGCAATCTGTCTGATCTTTGCTTGATTGTTTGCTAGCCTAGAAGAACCAGAAAGTTATGGGAAGATTTTGCCACTGTGCCTCAGAATAAAGTTAATCATCTTGGAAGAGGGAATTAGATACATGAAAATGAATAACATGACAACTTTGAGGGCACATATCATCACTGATTGAGTAGTAAATTTTGTTCTGCGCTTCTTAGTAATGGACAGGTGCGGGGAGAAAACAAACTTGGTGAGCTATTATAATTTAAAGAAAAACATATTTGACCATTCAGATGATCAATTTTTTTTTGCATATATATTTGGTTTCTGTCTGTGGCTCCTGATTCACAGCTCTTTAAAGCCTTAGAATTTCCCAAGTGTAGAGATTGAGAATGATGACAGTGTCTTGTGTGTGTGTGTGTGTGTGTGTGTGTGTGTGTGTGAATGCGATGACTTTTGGGAAGCACCTATGGATAGATGTTTGTTGCCAGGATAACCAATCACATGCAGAGGGTTGGAATTTCTAGTCCCACCCCCTGACCTTCAAGGAGGTGAGAGAGGCTGGAGGTTGAATCAATTGTTAATGGCCAGTGATGTAATCGATCATGACTAAATAATGAAGCCTCCATTAAAACCTAAAAGGCAGAGCTTTAAGAGCTTCTAGGTTGGTGAACCTGTGGAGATTTGAGGAAAGTGATCCACCTGGATGGAGCTTGGAAGCTCCTTGCTTTTTCTCTATCTCTTCTATCAGGTTGTTCCTAAGCTATATCTTATAGCAAACCAGTGATCTAGTGAGTAAGCTAGTTTCCTGAGTTCTGTGAGCTGCTCTAGCAAACTAATCAAACCTGAGAAACACCAGTAACAACCTGGACTTACAACTGGCAGCTGAAATCTAAGAATGGGGTGCTGGGAACCTCCAATCTCTAGCTGGTTTTCAGAAGCAAATTGGACTTGCAACTGGTAACTGATGTGAAGGATAATCTTGGGAGACTGAACTCTTTACCTGTGGAATCGGATGCTATCTCTTGGTAGACAGGGCAAAATTTAGTTGAAGCCTCAGATACCTGCTGTGTCTGACACTGGCTTGTTTTTATGGGGAAGCTTAGACAGAGACACATATTGCAAATGGGTTTGGGAAACCTAAAATCCCTGTAGTATCTGGATGTCATTAGCCTAAAGGACAAAGTGTCACAGAGTAATCTAAAAAGGGGAGATTTTATGTTTCCTGCCACACCTAAGGAAGGGTGGATTTGAGTGCTGAGGGGAAGCTAAAAAGGGCTCGGCAAAAAAGACTTGGAGGAGGTGCTTGGAGCAAAGAGACTTGTGAAGAAGCCATGCTTACTTCTTAGTCTTGGACTTGTACCAGGGACTTGAGGGACATGAAAGGAGACACTTGAAAGAGACAGAGACAGAGATAAGAGACTCATGCAGAGACTGACAATGGCAGCCTTTAATCTTGAATTGTACTTTGGATTTTGTTCCTTTCCTTCCAGACTTGCTTGGCCACTTCTGCCCCCTTTCTACAGTTCCCCACCAGAAGGTGCCTTAGACTTGTGGCAGGCATTACAGTCTCAGTAGCTCTACTTTGAGCCAACCTGTTTGTCTGGACATTTACCCATGAGAGGGTGGGTCACTTTGGATATTTCATTGGGAAACTATTATCCTTTCTCTTCTCTCTATGCACACTATCCTATTAAAAATATTCACACTAAGAGTATGCTTTGTCTTTATATGGCAGATGTCAGAAACTATTTAGAGCATGCAAGTTTGGGGATCCTGGGTTACCGCTCATTCTGCCTGCTAACAAAAGTAACTGAATTTAAAAAAGAAGTAACTAATTTTCTGAGTGAAATTTTTTTAATCCATTACTTTGAGACAGTGAACAAAGGATTATGTTCTTACAATATTTTTTATAATACAATCAAACAATTTTCATATGGCTATTCCTGATTTTAATCTTTAATAGGAGCAAAGTGATTACCCAAAGTGGTAATCATAAAATACTTTTCAATGAGAGGATTCTGGATTCAAGGTGTACAAGTATGTGGTTTTTGTATTTTCACATAAATGGACTTTTACTAATGATTCATTTATCTGCTATTTTCCTCTGTTAAAGAGATCTTCCTCTGACTTTCCACTCAGATTTGTTCTTACATTTCATACTGAACAAGCCACATTTTAATATGACTCTGCTTAGACATTTAG